CAAAAAAAAAAGAGTAAACTGAAAGGGAATAAGAAATCCCCAGCAATGTCAAACTGAATACCTAAGGACTCTGCCATTTTTCTAACATCAGGGGCATGTTTAGTACCTCAGGTGATTTTCGAAATGACCTTCTGACCCCAGAACTCCGAGTCAGGCCCTGTGCTACACCCTTCCCAGAGCCCAGTGGTACTGCATCATCTGTTGCAATTAGCTGCCGAGGCTTCACCACTGGTATTCCTATGAAAAAGCAAGCATAGTAAGTGTCATCCATCTTCATTCTGAAGCTTCAGCTGTCTGTGGGGCTGCCACCCCATTCTTCTGGTGCTCCACCTTAAAAGTTCTCACCAGTAGTCACCAGTTTGGATTTATCCTCTTCATCACCAACTTCGTCATCATCCACACTTCGTCCAGGAAAGAAAAAACCCATCATTCTATGAAAGAACTGGTGTGTTAGCTGGATGGTGAGAGGTACCACATTTACCTAAAGTAGAAAAAAGTTGAAGCAATAAAGCCTTCAGTTTACCTACCCCTTATATAGCACAATACATGTCTAGCCTTTGATTGTCCTTTGTTTCTGGGTCACCAAGGGACTATTTACTAACCTCAAAATGCTCCTTCACAGAGATTCCCCCAACAGGGGGCCGGACTTTGCTGAAGAGGCGGAGGGCCAGCTGTCGCCCAGATTGGCAGGAGCTCTGGGGTCGGAGCACTACCTGTAGGATAAAGAGTAAATAATAGGCCCCAACTCAATGTTCTCCCTACCATAAGTCAACCCACAAATCCCTTGCAGAATGAGAAGAGAAAGAATAGTCTGGCTAAGCTGGGCAAGTGTTCACCATCTCATATCACCACATTGTTTCCCAGAGGAGGTTTATGCGGAAGGGCCATTATAAATGTCCTGTGCTAAGAAACATGTGAATGGGTTAAGAACAGGGGAATAAGACTTGCCTTATAGACAGCATTGGGGAGGAGGTTGTTCATAGTGAACCAGCCCAACTCCAAAAGATGCTCTGCTGTATCATCAGACTTATTCACCTAGAAAGACAAATTTTACACCTATAAATTGCTCAGTAACTTGCTAAAGAACTGCTATGTATACTGTTTGTTTTCAGGTTCTCCATAAACCTAAATCCCAACCTCTGGAAACTCCTTCAGTCTCATACAAACAAAACACTTTTTAATCCAGCATTTCTCATGGGTACCTTTGGCTAGGGCACTAAATGCTACAGTACTTCTTAGTCATTGTGACATTAAAAAATGTTCTCATTCATCTCCAAACATCTTTCGCAAAAGGAAGTAATAAATAAAGGCTGGGCACGGTGGCTCACACCTATAATCCTAGCACTCTGGGAGACCAATGAGGGTGAAATGCCTAAGCTCACAGGTTTGAGACCAGTCTGAGCCACAGTGAAATCACATCTCTAAAAATAGCCAGGCAGACACCTACAGTGCCAGCTATTTGAGAGACTAAGGCAAGAGAATCACTTGAGCCTAAGAATTTGAGGTTGCTGTGAGTGATGCTATGGCACTCTTCCAAGGACGACAAATAAAATTGTCTCAAAAAAAAAAAAGTAATCAATAAATGTTCTCTCTCCCATGTGAAGAGGTAATTACAGTAAGCTGAATGCCAGTATTAGAATGCCTCTATTCTAATTTGGACTTGGAAAATTACTTTCCTCTAGGCCCCTCTTCCCCTCTATACTTCTAGGGGTAGATAATCCTCATCAGTGAGAGAAGCATTTGATCAAAATCATCTGTATCTGTATCATTTAATATTACAAACACGTGTGTCTAAGGAAGCTTTGCTCATGTTCTTAATCATGACCATCATTAATAATCACATAGTAGATGAGCGCGGTGGCTCATGCCTGTAATCCTAGCACTCTGGAAGGCCGAAGCAGTGGATAGCTTGCGCTTACAGGTGCAAGACCAGCCTGAGCAAAAAGTGAGACTCCCATCTCTACTAAAAATAGAAAAACTGAGGCAAGAGGATTGCTTCAGCTCGAGTTGGAGCTTGCTGTGAACTATGATACCATGGCACTCTACCCAGGGCAACAGCTTGAGACTCTGTCACAAAAAAATATAAAAAGAGGCTCGGCACCTGCAGCTTACAGGCCAGGGTGCCAGCCAAATATACCAGGGCTGGTGGGTTCAAACCCAGGCCAGACCTGCAGAACAACAATGACAACTACAACCAAAAAATGGCTTGGTGTTGTGGTGGGCGGAGGCTGAGGCAAGAGAATCACTTAGCCCAAGACTTTGAGGTTGCTGGGAGTTGTGATGCCACAGCACTCTACCGAGGGCAACATAGTGAGACTCTGTCTCAAAAAAAAAGAAAAGAAAAGAAAAAAAAAATCACATAGTAATTAGCCCCTTTTTGTTTACCTTTTGAGAGTTCGACTCCTAAGATAGGTCAATGCCTTTGTATGGTAAGTATACCCCAGATACCTTGCTGTAGAGGAATCTCTGCAGCTCTAGTTCAGCAATTCCCAGCTGTCCATCTTCCTCTGTCAAGCGCCAGCGTGCCTGAGCAAAGTAAAACTCAGTACGCCGGACCACACTCACGTCTTCTTGCTGCTTTCGCAGCTCCATCTTGTTGGCCCGCTGCAGTTGGAAATCCTTGAAACACCTGTAAGTGGACAGGGGCACCAAAGCCAGTAAGGAAAACAGCACATGGGTTGGGGGTAGGGTGGAATGCTCTAGATGCAGCCCCCCAACCTCTGGTCTACAGAATGGCATCAGTCCATGGCCTGTTAGGAGCCCAGTGACACAGCACTGCCTCATCCTCCCAAACCCTTGTGCTTCCT